GGCATGATCGAATTTGGCCAATCAGAATTCGATCACTCCAATTTCATCTTTTGGAATGCAAACATTAATTCTTAGCTATTTCACGCTACTTAACACTTGCAGTGGAGTAAGGTTTATGAGTAGTTATGTTACTCCGGTGATTTACTTTTAATTGCAGATGAGGCGTGAGGTGCGCGCTGCTTCACTTGATCTTACTTATGCTTGCAATAAACATGTACGCATGTACGTATGTACGTATGTATGTGTATGTACGTTTATGCATTTTGAAGTCTCAAATTTATGTAGCCGGTGCATGTATGTATGTATGTGTGTACGTTGCCCGCTACTGCCCTGCAGGGAAACCGCGGACTAGTGAATCAAATTTCTAGTTCCGTACTAGGTCTTTATCGCCAAAAACGAACTAGTCCGATATGAACTAAATCCCCACCAGTCCAAAATCGGAGAAAAGTGGTACTTTTAAAAAAATAATTTATTTCAGTTTTTTCACTAGAAATCGATATCTAAAGTGACGAATTTAGAAATGGTTCGGAACTATAGAAAAAGGGATGTAGAACGAACTAGATCTTATTTGTCGAATTTAGAACTATTTCGGAACTATCGAATAAGGGATGCAGCGGGGGGCTTGTTTACTTTACATAGATATGTGTTCGGCGGCTTTTTCGTTCAAATACGCTTCTATTCTGCGCTTCGCAGATGCTTTTTCATAGCTTGGTAATACAAAACTAAAATTTGTGTTAACATTTCAACATCTTGGGACCGTCTGGAATCTAAGAAATAACAGCGAGCACCTCTGCAAACTCAGCTACAGCTAAAGGTATGTAAACGTACATTTCTTACAATCATTCAAACGAAATTTAATTTCAAATTGAAAACACATTTCTTCCAAAATAACTTAAAATCGCACACACGGAAGAACCAAAAAGATTGAAAAATCATGATACTTTTTTCNTCCGTCTGTCGATTTCAGAACTGGTTCGGAACTACAGAATTTAGGACTAGTTCGGAACTATCGAAAAAGGGATGCAGCGAGGGGCAATTGACACTTCCTAGGACATCGCCATGTTAAATTCGCCAGTTGCTTGCATGCAAAAGAGATTTATCGCGAACCAGTACTGGGTCTAAATGTACTAGAAGCGCCCCAGTTCAGAACTAGAGATTTTCCCCACAGGGTGTGCATGGTGTGGTGTCGAATTAAGTATGTTTATAATTGGTATGGTCGGTGTCCATTGAGTTGAATATCGGACTAATAGAGTTTGTTGTAGTTGTTGTTGTTGGTATTGGAGATATTGGTGATGACGTTGGGAGTGTGGTGGTTGAATGTGTAACTAACACCCCTATTGCGAATGTCGACTGGCAGTAGATAAACGACTATTAAGCGATTATCGATTAGCGATGCTATTGCGAGTGTCGCTTAGTCGCTCAATTAGCGACTGTGAATACTTTTTAATCGCTCATTCTTCTATTGCTGTTTTTTAGTCGTTGGAGTTTGCGTTTATAAAATTTACATAAGAAAGTGGTACTATAATGGATAAAAAGTAAGTCAATTGAACTGGAAGTTGTAAAATAAAAAATTGTCAAATATACATATGCATGTATGTGTCTGAATTACAGATCAAAAATTATAAGCAACAAAAGGCAACTTGCGCGGTTGTTCGTACTGATGCAGGAGAGTGACGACATAGGCAAAGGAATTTCCGGAAAGAGTAGGGTAGGAAGCTCCGCTTCTATTGGAAAAGATACATATACAATATTTCTTGTGCATATAACTCCGGCTACGCCATCCACAGTGTTTTTGCGCAGAACCAACATCAAAAGTTTATACAAAAAAAAACTGCATAATTTATTAATTGACTAGTGCTCGGAAATTTGAAATCTTTATTTTAAATTAAAGTTGAATTCTTTCAATACACTTGTTATGTTGTTATGTTAAAATTTTTAAACTCGGGTCACACGTTTGGACACAAAAACCCAACATCATTGTACAAAAAACTTAACCGTACCGTATTTCTTAAACTTCCATAAAGTTTATTAATGAGGAAAACAGCTTTTCCTGCAAATCATGTAAAGCCTAAAAACTGTGAAGCATCGGGAACGCAACTTCTATTCATAAAACTCACACGTGTACATACACCTTCAAAGTCCAAGGGATCCGACGAATCTCGCAATTCCCTCCTTGCTTTAGCTAACTCTACTAATCTATTAGCTTCCGCATCATCTTCCTCATCACTAAACCATATTTCAACTGTGTCCATTTTTTAAATTTTATAATAAAAGCAATTATTTTAAAAATGATGTAAATAAAACACTCAAGAAACAAATGTAAACAAACAAACAGCTGTTTACAATTCTGTCAACCATTCACAATAGTACAAATTTTTATCGATCAAGTTACACAATAGCAAAATAAAAAACGATCGACTCGATCGACAAATTTCTATTCTACTGCCAGTCGACACTCGCAATAGGGGCCTATATGCAGTTGCGAAAATTTTTATTTCGCACTTTGCTCATTTCATTGTTTATCCCTTCAGTTATATTTTACTACTCTCTTAACCTTCTTCTTCTGTGCTTTATGTTCACGCACCCGTAATTTCTTCATTTGCGCCAAATTCCACGTTTATGATTAGCTTGAAAAATATTCAGATATCGATTTTAGTTTTTTGTGCCGATTTCATAATAGGTACATGAACATAACTATTTATGTACATATGTTTGAACATATTAGCAACAACACCTCAGTCACGACAGCAATCGTTGCGTCTGTTTTCATGTCTTCATCGTTGACGTCATCAAAGAGGCGACAGTGATTTTTTGGCTTATGAATGTGCTTTTCGCCGGGCGGTGGTATGTACATACATATCGCGCACGATCTTCAAAAGTGACGCAACTCAAACTTTGGCATTTTTGAAATTACGCACGAAAAATGTACACAGAGCTGTTATTTACCTTTCAGCTGGAATAAATCCTTGTTATGACTTGTTTTGAAAAATCCCGAGGTAAAGTCTTCCTTGCCCATATGATTAGCATGTGCTAAGAAATAGTTTTTCGCATTTTCTGACGAACGTGTTCTTTTGAGTTGTGTGCGAAACTTAACTCTCATGTTTAAATAGCAGATCTTTATCAGGCGCATTGCGGGTGTCGTGTAGAGAGCAAGTCGTAATTCGAGAATCGAGTCGTACCGAAAATTACATGTCATTATCTAACATTTCAACTCGACTAGTGTGTTAAAACGGAAAAACTGGGCAGCAGTTTTAATTGAGGTACCGCTTTTTAGTGTTCACACACAGTCAGCTGATCGATTAGCTAAGTGACGCAAAAGTTGGTATAAACGTATCTTTATTTAGTTTGAAAGTACATTCGTTACAAACACACCATTTTAGCCAAATAACTTCTCAGGAAATCGGTTCTTATTTTTTTTCACACTGTAACGCATTTTCTGGTGTGAGTAAGTTGTCCATAGTGAAGGGATATACAAGTGGTGCACAAGGGTGATCAAAGTAACGTTAGATAGACAGAGTATAGTTTGTTTTATATCGTCAGATCGAAAAACTCGTAGGAAAGTTATTCACCTTTTCTAAAGCGTAGTTTTGTCTCGAACAGCTCGAAGAGATTTTTATTTTGATACCCAAATTCGTTTAATATGAGTTCAAACGTACATATGTCGTATCGAAGGGAGAGCTAATCCTCTTTTTTTCTAATATATGTACATATGTGTAAAGTACATATAAAAATACATATTTACGTCTTACGAACATTTATCTACTTTAAGTAAAGTTTTCCTCAAATTAGTTACAAGTTTAAAATTAAATTTTCCATCCCTGATGGAATATCAGCTGTAAACGAGGACAGCTGATTGCTGTTTGTTCAATAAACATACCTCAAAGTCAAAATTAAACATACCCAGCAGGGTGGCATGAAAAAATTCATTCCATTAGCACTCAATTAAGAACTAATCGAGCAATAAAGAATGCAAACTTTATATGAACAAGTAATTTTTACCAAAAAACAACCGACTTCAACTCTCATATAAAAAAAATATATATGTATATATATCTCATGATCCACCGATCGGATCTTAACCAGATTAGTATGGGACCACCTCTGAGACCTCGGTTGACGTGGTCCAAAGTTATGCGGTAACATACATAAAAAAAAAAAAATATTCCGACGAACTGATAACCTCCTCCTTTTTTGGAAGTCGGTTAAAAATTGAGCTCAATTAGCATCCTAAACGAGAAAGCCCGGCTAATTGCTCGATTGTCTGCCTGTAGTGTGCCAGGTGGCAACGGCATTAATTGTTAATTATTTTTCAGTGCGCGGACTTCGCAGTTATACAATCAAAAATTAAAATAAGGAAACTTCAAAATGTGTATATTACGGTGCTTTTTTTTGGCGACTATTTTTTTCACTTCCACCCCGAAATTTTGTGGGAAATACCTAAAGAAAAAAATTTCATGAAATTTTGAGCCCTTAACATTAATTTTAAGTGCTCGCACCAAGGCGTACAAAAATACACGTAAACTTTGAGTTTTTTTCTTCTTTATGGTATAATATTGGTCAATGATGTGGTTTTTCCAGAATTAAATGCTCTACAAAAGTGTCCATTGCGGCGTGAACTTAACTCCCTCAAGTGAGGAAGTACGGTTCCTTAAGGCGCACTGCTTACCACTACACCACAGCGGCCGGGCATATTAGTTTTTTTAAATTAAATATACATACCTATGAGGAGAAGAATGATGAAAAACCTACAAAAGTAATGTTTATGTAAAAATGTTGTGCAAAAGTTTCCGAATTATAAATGCGACCAAAAACTATTTTTTTGATTACGATGACTTTTTTTGTTGGTTTTTCATCATTCCTTATCCACTGCTCATAGGTATATTTAATAAAAAAAAAAAAACATATGCCTAATCATTTTAATCACTTTCTCCACCTGACGATCGGTGCTGTTCCGCCAATTTTTTACACACCCAATGGTCTCCCTTGGTCGTCGTTGCCTATTCTATTGTTATTTGTTGCTCAGTTTTTTATATATCGTTGTTTGCATGCTCTCCTACATTGGCTGTTGCGTCTAGTATGTTACGCACGCGCCAATGGCACTACATACATAGTGATCAGCTATGCTCCGCGCTTTCCCCCCTTTGAACGCTTCTCTTCTCTTCGCATGTCTTACGTCGTTGGGCTTTTACATTTAGTTTTAGGCCTCTACAGCTGTTGCCAACGTCAATCGCGTTAATAGCCCACTGCCGCAGTTGTTGCCGCATCTAATAACCAAAGTTATTCAAAAGCTCAATTGGCATTCGCTAAGTGGTTTTTAGTGCCACATAAATTACAAATTTAAGCATTCTCACTCCACAAGCGTGCCCTGAAACTTGCCTCGCATACGCCTTTACCTTGTGGATATATTTATATGCAAGTGGATAGGCCCAAAGTAAATGCAATTGTTTAATATGTGCATTCATATTAATGAATGCCCTTCAGGAAATAAAGCTTTCTTAACCCCAAGCCTCGTGTTTAGGTCTAACAGACCATTTTGAAAAGTTTCGCCATCTCATAAGCTGGTAAGAAAATATTTCCCCGTGAAATATCCAACACCAGAATTTCGACAAATCTTCATAGCTGAATTGCCGAATATTTTGACCACGTAACTAGAATCGCGGTGACAAGAAGTGGTACAATTTTTTGGTAATACAAATTTGCGGTTACAAAATCGTCGGTAACGTGCAGAATAGACCTGTTAGTCGGAAAAAAATTTTGCTGGGGGATGACGCCCTTGACATAGCTCACAGTTGCAGCTGTGTCCCGGCACCCAAATCAGTGCAACGATATGCCTACCAGTTTAAGCCGTAACGTACCCTGTACATTGTTTATTACGCCTTAATTGCCGGCTGGCTATCGGAGAAAATATCAATGCTTGTCCTAGTTCGTTCTGAGGCTAACATCTTACTTTATATACTCTAAAAGGTAACTGCCTTAATGGCTGTTTGGCTATTTTGGAGGTGCTAGCCCCGCGGTTTTCCTCATTGTTAGCCTGATTTTTTTTACTTTTTTATTGTAGCCCAAAACCTTCTCTTTCAATTAAAACAAAGCGTCATATAGTACTTACGACATGCGCTCCTTCTCTCAAATGAATTATGCCAAAAAATTAGGGTGCTTCACTAAAAAAAAAGTTAAAATTTTTTCCTATGGAACTACAAAATTTATTATAACTGAAGACGCCCGCCAAAATATTTAGGAAAAATATTTGCATAAGGTATTAGACCGACTTGAAAATAGCTCCAAAAATCTCATTACTTGTATTCCGTTGATAACATTTTTAAAAATTTTTAAGCAGACCTTTAGCCTAAGCTCTTGTAATACGTCCATAAACCTAGCTGACCCAAGTCGCCAAAAATCAATAAAAATTAGCTAGGTATTAGGTGTCCTTTAGGTGTTAATTAGGGCCTCCAAAATTAATTTAGGTGTTCCATTGGTTTCCGAGAAATTCGAAAAATATGTGGGTCAGCTAGGTTTACGTTTATTCAAATTAAATTAAACTTTTTTCAAATTAAATGAAACATTCTTAAAAGGAAGTTACTTTAATTTAAATAAAGTTTCATTGAATCTGAAAAAGGTTTCATTTAATTTGAAAAAAGTTTAATTTAAACTAAAAATGCTCTATAATTCCTATACCAAAAACAGTAGTGATATTTTTTATGGAGAGTGGTGTACCCTAATATACATACATACATATATGCATATTTAAAGATTTACATGCTGAAAACCGGAGCTTCAGCTGTATCTTTATAAGTATAAAGAAGCGCTCTTGCACCACTACACGATATGTATTTGCATCTGTCACTTTGCTCATACATACGTAATTGCACCCGTCTGTCAAACTCACGCAATTTAATTCACCATTTATTTTATGTTCTTTGAAACGAAAAAAGGTGATTCTATCTGTGGGTCAGATGAAATTAGAAACATTTATTTTTCGCATGTACATATGTATGTATGTTTTTACACGATGTGTTTGCATTTTTATATGTAACAAGTGGCGTTGACACATGCAAATACATATCGTGTATATTTTTGGTTGCTGGCAAATTTTTCCTGTTAGGTAGGCAGCAACTTCAGTTAACCACAATTCGTAGGTGTGTTCGTTGTTGGCACGCATTGTTGTGGCTTGTGATTGTTATTACGTCTTTTTTTTGTTAACTTATTTTGTTACTTTACGTAGTTTCTTTTTTATCCAAAGTTTGTGTGCCTTTTTTTAATCAAATTGCTTCCCGCTTTTTACGAATTCAAAACACTCACTTCTCCATTGTAATCGCTAGCATTTTTTACCCACTGTTTTGACCTGCTTTGCTAAGTGCAATTAATTGTACGATTTTACTTGTCTGTCATTTGCTAGTTTTGTTTACCTTTTTATTTTTAATTAGTTTTTTTTTGGGGGGTTTATATAAATGCATCGCAATTTCAGTTTGTATTTTGTATTTATTTTGATTTTGACAACTCTTTTAATTTCTTTGGCTGTATATAACATATCTTGGAGGTGTAGAAATATTTGGTGGCCAAGATTTCAAGCAGACAATATTTTTTTTTCGTTTACTGCAACCAGCTGAATGCCAACTTTTTGTTGTAGCCGACTATACATAGAGGTATACTGATTCGAAATAAAGATTATTCGATAGGTGTCTGCTACAACTAGCAGGTATAGCGTTGAATACTTTCCAAGCTGGACATTATGTATCCACGTCAAGACGAAGCCATCAGTGCCGCTGTATTTTAATTCGCTGCACTATGTCTATATCGTTGTAAAACATAAATCTTTCTCTCGAATACTTGCCTCATTACTTTCCAAATTTAGGCATCAGCGCCTATACATATATACGGTTTTTAAGACATTTGTTTTCTGACCAAGCGCTCGTGTAGCCTATCCTTCGAAATTGATAATAGGTTGGCGCTTACAGATATGTTAGTGTTTGGCCGAGCTTCTTCTCGGATCTGTGGCGTGCGCCTTGATGTTGTCACTCAAAGGAGAGCGACCTATAGTTTTACGGCGATTCCGAACGACGATTGTATTTTATGAGAAGCTGTTTTCATGGCAGAAATTCACTCGGAGGTTTACTTTTGCCTGCCGAGGGGAGACCGCTATTAGAAGAAAACTGTTTTTTTTTTCGTTTTTGCTCTGCGGACTGGTAAGTCACACTGCTAATAAGGCTGCAAATTATTCATCGCAGCGTATAGTTAGATCGACAAAGAAATGATTTGTGTCGAGCCTTCTCTCGCAGGTCGTTTCCAAAATTTGGCTTATGGTGAACAGCTGCTCTATGAAAGTGGCCTCGATGACAGTGGGCTTTATGGGCCTTTCCCATATCACGCGTAATAATACCTTATACGTAGCTTATGCTCAGACGGCTGATTCCGCGATAGTTGAGCAATATAGGAGGGTCTTCTTCCTTGTGGATTGGGCAGAGTACGCTTAAATTTTAGTTGCCATTATTCTGCATATCAGCTCCTCGCGTCTTCCTTAAGTTTTAAAAGTGATTGGTGAAACCGGGAATTAGTCATTTTGTATAGAAGATAACGACATTTTTCGTTTTGTGCCGTTGTTCAGTATTACCAGTGGAGTTATTTTCGTTTAACTACTTAGGATTTGTTACTTATTACGTANGTGTCTCCGGAGTCGAGATACCGCTAGATGGCGGTTTAGTCGAAATATTGATTGATATGATTGGATTTGTAATATTTTTGAACCATTTTTCCAGCACGTGTGTGATGACAGCCGCATCCTACGATCCCACCACGAATACACCATTCACCTATGTGTATTTGGAAAAGTTCTGTTTTTTTTTATAAGATTTGTAGTTACATAGCTATAATTCTTAAAAATGAGAAAAATCCTAATTACTAAATTTTGATCACCAAAAATACACGAAACAACCGATTTTTTACCATAATTTGAATTTAAAATTACTTTTTACTGTGCAATCTGGTTCAAATTATTACTGTGGTTCCTTGATTTATAGATGTTCGATGGAAGAAAGCGATATCCCACTTATGATTCAAATCTAAAGGAGAGCAAATTACATGTTAAGAATGACGTTTAAACATTTTAAATATTGTTTCTTATTAAGTTTACAATGTATGAAATAGAGAGTGATGGCTCAGTTATGCATACTTTGCACTGCACTGCATAACATGTCATTTTTACGTAGAAATCAAAAACCAACAGACTTTTACATATGTACATATGTAATGCTGTGCGTTACACGCAGACTCCTTATATGACGACTCTCATGCAATGCCGAGTATGCATAACTGAGCCATTACACAAGACCGCATTCTGGTAAGGAAATGAGACGCACTCGACCACGGATTGATTAAAGCCGGAGAACGGGCGATTATCGTTCGTCAAAACAGACATGTTTGTACAAGTACAGCATTCTTCAAGGCGAATTTCCAACATTGGGGGACCGATTTTCTTTTATGTCTGACATCCATGCGTACATTATCTTATCTGAACTTTTTTTACCAACATCCCCTAAATCTCTCAAATTATGTCATCGACTGGGGGCTCGGGTTCATCTTCTCATCTCGTTTCAGTTCTGTTACCATTCAACTGGGAAGAAAATATTCCCTCGATAAATATTTGAGTGGTGAAATAGCGGTAAGTAAAAAAACCCACCCGCATCCAGTTCTACAACCAGTACTATGACACCAAAGAAGTTCCTGTAATGTTTTTATGCATTTTGTAGCAGTGCGTAATTTAAATACTCTGTGCGATATAAAATTAAAATGTTCACATCTTGTAGTCATGTCGTAGATGACAATTCCAAAGTAGTACCGAGTATAACAGTCAGTCGGATTGTAGCCCACATTAGAGGAAACTTTATGACCCAGCTACCTCCTAGAGACTTTCTCTAATTCCTTTGCTTGTGGCACGATTTCGCATTGTCAATTGCTTGAGTGGGTTGGTGACAGACGCAGCGCAGGCGCAGACGTACTTATGTGTGTACCAATTTAACAGATTGACAAATTACGAGTGTTACGCTGGGGAATTGTGTAAATGTAGGTTTGCTATGTATAAATATATGTACATACATACATATCTATCAATTGTAAATTTTGCTAAACATTTTAAAGAAAACATGAATACTTGTGCTGACGCGATCGAATGAAACCACAGTCCTCAAATAAACTCGCAGTCTACTCTAATTTGTATGCATTGTGGAAGATTTCATGGTTGTTTATTTTTTATACATTTGTGTTAAGATGCAATGTTGTATATTTTTATTAGGTACCTATTGCCTGCC